GCCGAGGACACGCTCCTCCCACACCTCGCTGCTGCCGCTGCTTGTTCTGGTCTGAACACTAGTGCGTTCAGTCTGAACATAGAGCGTCCAGTGAGAGACGTTTTGCGCTTTTTGGCCGCTCAAAACGCGTTTGGTGTGAACGTAGCATTAGGTTTTCAGTGGGAGACGCGTCGAGCGGCGAAAAGTTCAGATATTTGAACTCTGGCGGCGGCTCGGGCGGCGGCGGCTTCTGCAGCACCGCATGCACGGAAAACGCTCTGCGCCCCTTCCGCCTTCCTTGCGCGCCGCTCATAACGCGCGTGACGCGACGCACAACCCCTTGAGGCGCGTTCGCCATAGACTTTGCATGTAAACTGGCAGCTCCTGCCGCTCAAAACGCTCTCGGTGTGAACGAGCCATGAATCAATTTACCCCCCTTTGTGATACTCAGGATTTTCAGTTTAGGAACAGGTGATATCAATTGGGTAATTTAATTCTGAGTCAAGTTACCCTGAGTTAAGTTGGAACACGAAGCCCTCATTAATGGAAGTCAAATAACATGATTCATAATGTCAACAGGAGAAAATAAGACCAAAAGTCCATTTCTCGCACTGAAACTAGAAATATTAATGACAACATTTAGAGAATATCAATATATTTAAATAAAAATAATAAAGCAATACTGTTGCTGCTGCAAGAGAAAGAGTTAGTGTGGCAGAGAATTACTGATCAAGTCAATGATTATGATTTTACATGAATCTAAACTTTTATTCTTTATATTTATTTTTACCTTTATTCTTTATGCAAGTGGATAAAAGTGAGTGTGTGTGCATTATGTGTGTAGATGAACCCAGCTGGTAATAAACGGACATGGCAGCAAATAAAAATTAAATATGAAAACATAGTAAAATCAGGTAAGGTCAAGTATAATCTCTTATGTTCAACTTTAAATAAATTACATAATTCACTGCTTCAACACACAAAATTATTGTGTCCCCCCCAGTGAAAAATATTGTGCATTACTCCATCTTCTCTCTGCCAATATTTAATACAAGTTTATTTGACTTTTCATTGTGAATCAGAATGATTATTTTTCACAAAAAGAGCTGTGATGGACGATCAGCTGAAGAGGCTACAGCTCCTCTGGTGCTCAGCTTTCTTCTGTAATTTTTTTTTTTATTTTCAGAAGTTTATTTCATTTTAAAAACCTGATTCTATATACAATAAAATAAAAATATATACTTCTGTAAGAATTTAAACCTTTGATCGTATCTTCATTAGAGAGTAGAAATGTAAATCAAATTTGATCATTTTTCTGTCCCTAAAGCTTCCTGTGAAACAGCTACAAGCTTGACTTGAAGAAGAGATTGAAACATGAGCAATTAAAAACATGTAAAAATGCTCAAACAGATTCATACAAAAAGACGTCACATGCAAAGTCTATGGTGGACGCGCCTCTGGGTGTCGTGCGGCACGTCACGTACGTTTGGCGCGGCGAGGTGCGTTGAAAGCAGCTGACGCCCGAGTTCAAAAATCTGAACTTTTCGYCGCTCGACGCGTCTTGACAACCAATCAGAGAGACTCGTTTTTCCACGTGATAGTTTCCTGAATGTTTCCCACTAAACCGAAACAGACGGACAGGAGATCTTTAGCTGAAATCGGCCGTCTGCAGTTGGATTTTCTGGCAGGATATATCAGTACCGATGTGGGTCAGCTGCTCGGGACAAAAAAAATACAAAGAAAGTCTGTCAGTTCGCAACTTCTGGAGTGGCAAAAACAAACGGAACAAATCGCCTCTAAATCATCTGGTGGATTAATTATCTGCTGTGCGCAACGTTCGCTTGCTCTTTAGTAAATAAATCAAAGCCATTTTGCTTATTTTATCTTTATTTCACCCGTTGAGGACAGACTGGGAAAAAACCAAGACGCTCCTCCCTCTTCAGACGCGCGTCAGCTCTGTGTCCTGGTCTGAACATTGTGCGTCCAGCTGGAGGCGTTGGGAGCTTTTTTGCTGCTCAAAAACGCATTCGGTGTGAACGTAGCATCAGGTGAGACAAACTCAGGATTTGTTCCAGTAATCCTGCCACAGAGCAGGGTTGGTTCATGGAGTAAGTTGTGGGGGTAAGTTGACTCAGGATAACGGCTTTCTGAAACCCAAAACCCAGGATATACACAGAGTTAATCCAGAACTTATCAGGATTTCCACTTATCCTGCTTTCTGCAACAGAGCTCTGTTTGTTTCCAAAGTGTGCTTTTCAAGTTTTAGTGCAGTTTTATGACAACACATACAGCACACAGTGCTTAAGGGAAAATAAAAACCTTTGTGCCTCCCAGTTTCTGCCACTGTAGTTTATTTTGAAAATGTCATAAAGTCAAAACTCTGGTTCAACGTGAGCTCAGCTTTACGGCCGGAGCAGATGCGTTCCTTCCATGTTGATCCATTAAACTAGGGAAGGAATATAAAGATTCACTTCCTGTTTGTATCCCTTCTTACCTTACGGGAGAGCTTGCTTCCTGGTCTTTAAGCTTTGCCTTATTTTCACTTCCTCCCCCCGACTCTGAGGTTTCCTGGGAGTGAGCTGGGGAATGTGTTGTGGGAGCAAACCCTGAGCTAAGCAGGGAGGTAGAAGCCGAGGCTTCAGGAGTGTAGTCAACAGGGATGCTGGGTGGTAGCATCTGTGGGAGGAGGTCAGGGCGACCTGACGGCAAGACTGGGTGGAAGAGGAGGATAAAGTCTCGTTACGATGTTGTGAAGGAAGAGATTCGCGTGCTGGCACACATTTGAAGTTATCAGTAAACATGACATGTTTTCCAGTGAAGTGAAAGCAGCTGCGTTCTTTTTGTTTTCTTACCAAAACTTCCATCRCTGTCCTCTAAGGTGTCAGAGCTGGTTTGGTGTTGGAGTGAGAGTGAGTGGTTGCCAGTTTGGGTCAACAGAAAAGCCCCAGGACCAGCAGGCTTTTTCATAGGACCATTAGCACGGCGCTTCTTAGTCGGGGAAGACCTCACTAGACAAGAAACAGAAAAGAGTCAATTAAAACTTCAAATAGTTCCACTGATTTGTTGTATTTATTTTCAAACTGACAGTATAAACTTACTTGGCAACCTTTTGAAGACCGTGTTCAACATGAACCTCTGAAATCTTTCTGAGTAGAAACCTGGCTTGTGAACTGATACTGTGTCCTGAGAACAAACAGATGTTTTTTTAACAATCTGTATTTGTAGACACTACAAACTAACACAAAGAGGAAACTCACCCCATCATGAACCAGGGCTTTCCAGGAATGTTCAAGCTTCTTTACAAATCTGGAGAAAAAAAAAACTGCATTGAAATAAATTGGARGAAGAGGATGTTTTTATTATTATTTTAAAGCCCTCCATGGTCTTTGTCTTTCCTTCCTGCGATACTACACTTCAAACCCACCTGATACTGAGTGCCTCAAAAAACTAAATGTAGAAGACAACATCTGAGATGATGATTTTTTAGTTTAATCTAACTGATTTCATGGGTTTTTAAGCTGATTTTATTAATAGGGCTGTTTGTACTTTATTAGGCCTTTCATTATTTTACGTCTTGTGACTTCTTTATTCACTCACACTGTTAACAAGCCTCTGCTTGTGCAAATTAGCTACGATGGATTCAGCAGAAAAAAAGCAAACAAGTTCAAGCAAGTCGAGCTGAAATACTCTGACTGYAGTCCGCTACCAAGCAATGGGTGTATCCTTGCATAAAAACCGGTCATTGTTGCTTTCATAGACCAAACAAACAAAGATCGTCATGCACAGCTTCATTTATGTCAGTGGTTCTCAAACATTTTCTGCTGCAAAAAACATACACGTCAAGGTGTATGGATTGTTCGTAAATTACAGATTTTTCTACATTTTGCGGGTATACGGACGTATAGAGAAATCTCAGGTTTTTCAAAAACTCAATATATTTTCAAAAATAAAGCTTCAAATTAATTTCACATCACAGAGCCTGTATAAAATAGAAAACAATAAAGGTAGAACTCGATGCCAAAGCATCGACTGGTATGCCTCCACCTGCCCTAGAGTCAACTGCATTGAAAGCACTGGGCCTGCAGTTAACTTTTTACCTCTATGTCTAAACATGACTTCATATTTACCATATTATTTAACCAAGTATTTTATTTGTCCTGTTGAAGGATTAGAAAAAAAGGCAAGTTTTATATTACAAATCATCATAAATGACCTTGACCTTTGACGCCCAAATCTAATCAGACTGAGTACTACCCTAATGGAGTTACTATGCCTATTTATAAGGAAATATATCATTTCATTCAGGAGATATTGTGTACAAAAGACCCACTGCACTAACACACAGACAGCCAGAGTACAGTATGCCCCTGGCCCCGGTGGGCAGAGGCATAATAATAATAAAGTTAAACGTCTATCTCCTCCTTTCCCCGTTCCTCTACACTACAGGTTTTGTTATCTCCACCTCATGCTCTTCTTGTCCCTGTGTTTGAGTCACACACACCCCGTTTTATTGTGAGAGTACTGTTGATTTTTTGTGAAAATTACAGATTTTTGAGGGTCAAGATACAAATGTCCTAAGGGGTTGACATGTATGAATAAAATAAACTACAACTTCTTTTAAACAACAAAACTCTTTCATAGTGTCAATATTTTAAGTGCAACTGTTGTTTTACTTTGTGACAATATTCAACATTGCAATCAATAAATCCTTCTTCAAAGACATGCTTCTCTGTGCAAAAGTGACAACTTTCTTTGYATTTATGTGTGAACCCTGTCAGTACGCCAGCAGTGTCTGAGCGTGCTCCCCCTGCAGCACCACTGTGCCACCCCCCTTTGGGAACCTCTGATTTATGTCACGTGAACCTGGCTCATCTGTCCTTGCTTCTCTTGTTCTGACTTCACAAAACACATACATTTCAATAGAAATCGCTCAACCTGTTCTTACAGCTACAACAGCCATGAGTTTGTTAAACTCATCCCAACGTCTACATGCCATCAAAACATACCACTGGATTGTGTTTAAAACAAATCACCTGAACGTATGTGGAGCAAACACTGACAGATCTCTGAAGTTGTTGTTCAGTTGGTGTCGTTTTTTAATCCTGTCTGGGTTAGTGTTTTGAGATTTAGTCACCAAAGGGTAAAAAAAAAACATGCTTTGATACCTGTAGGACTGCAGAATGTCAATAATGCCTGTGTACACCAGCAGCCTCTCGCCTTTCGAGTTTCGTGCTGGAATTCCTCCAGTCCTGAAAAATAAAGCACAGGTCTGTCAAGGCTGAGAGACTTCTAACAACAAAGTCAGCGCACACAAAGCCTCTCCGGTGTCACTCACGTGTCCGCTGGCTCCATTGATCCCACGCCTCCTGACTCAGCCTGAATGGCCTCGATAGCTGTACTATACAAAGATTTTTGGACTTGTGGCCTCCTTTGGTCCAAAGCAGCTGCCTCTTGGCTGGCCCTTTCTCGACAGGCCTGATCTAAGTTGTGAATTCCTACTAGAAGGCTGTAGTCCATAATTTTGAAACTCTGCAAAAGCTGAAAGCAAGTAGAAAAACACAAGTAATGAAAGCTCATGGATTGAATTAGATATTTAAAATCTAACGTTTTATTCAGTCGTATTAGGTTTTTGAGGGGAACCTTACCAAACAGTCTCTCTGGATGGTCTTACAAACAGCATTGTACTTGTCCCCCTCGAGTAACAGGCCCCCTGTCATGTCCTGAATAAAGTCCAGGTCTTTGTATGTGGGCACGGCTTTCTCTCTCTCTTTRGGCGAAGCTCGTCGCTTATAGGTAGAGCCCTTGAGATCAAACTTTTGGTGCATTGTTACCGCACTGGGGAGCAAATTGTTCATGACTACAATACGGATGTTTTTGCCACCTGTCTGCATGCAGTACAGCCCATAAAACTTGGGCAACAAGGTCCTCTTGTTTTGGTTCAGATTCTGCAACAGACCAGAGGTAAAGGGAGAAAGGTCAAACAGATTAAGAACASCGATAATCGTAAGTGAGCTGAATGACAATAGGAACATTTAAATATATCATAATGAAGAAAATAATGAAGGTGTGTTTGTAATCATCTCAAAGCAGCTAAGAACATTTCAGAAATGTGAGGCAAACCGCACTGTCTCACATCATTCACAAACAAGAACACATTACGGAACCAAAGTCTGGCAGGAAAAATATTTCAAAACTCTTAACATTAAAATAGGAACTTGTTTTATATTTTAATAACAAATCGTCTGCAGATTGTCTGTAAAATCATTAAATAATAAAAACTATCAAAGTTTCTGATCCAAGCCTGAGATAATTTCATTATCCAACTTCTTTTGTCAGAGGAATCAAAATGCTTGAAGTTTAAAAACATTTGAAGTTTCTTATGTCATCAATACGGACCTAAACTCTCTACACTGAAAATAAAAAGTATAACCACTTCTGATGGACTATCTGTGGATATAACTCAGGCTGATTTACCAATACTGAATTAAAATTTCACATGTTCACAGCAAACGCTCGAGAGTGACGCCATGAAGAACCACTTCCTTCTGCCTTCCAGTTCTGTTGCTAAAAATCAACACAGACACACGCCCTAAGTTGATGACAAGCTAAACTAGATGGACTTAATTCTGCAGATAATCTCTGTTCTTACCATAAAGTATCCGGGCAGAAGTTTCTGTAGAAACTCTGCCTCTTTGTGCTGCACAGTCTTGATAATGAATTCATCATCGCTAGAAACGTAAAACAGAGATCCACTGGCCCCGGAGTTCGACAGCTCAATTAGTGGCTCGTTGCACAGAGAGTACTGTAAAAAAAAAAGAGAGAAATTGTTAAAGACGTGAAAAAAGAACCAAACAATACAACTGGCTTTCAGACGGAAATAAATGACGAAAGCTCCACCTCTCTTGTGTCAACACTCATTTGTTCAAACTTCTCTCCAGTTACTCAATCACTCTATTCTTCTGGGCTATTTGCTTCTTTTAGCGACACTTGATCAGAATATAATAAATGCTGTTTAAAGAATTGTACCATGTAGTCATCGGGGCGTATGCCAAACATCTCTCTGAAGTAGCGAAAGGCAATTGGAGCGTACGTTTTGAACCTGAAGTCTCCATAGTGGTGAGCTGGTGTCAGGTTACTGCCCTCACTGACAAAAAAAAATTAAATTAATTGAAAAAATTTAAAAATATATAATAAAAAAATAAACACTGCATTTACACATAAATAGCAAAAAAAAAGGTACTTAGTGGTATGAAAATGTTCACACACAATAAGCAAAGCAACATTTCCTCATTTTAAAACTCTCAAAACTCACTTGGGAAAGAAGATGCTTTCCACCACCTCAAAGTCCTGCAGTAGAACATCTCGCTCAGGTTTTTGGCTCAAGCTGCCCACTGTGTATGTGATACCCAGCTGTATTGCCCCTTTCAGAGCAGAGGATCTTGTCTGGAACAAAATAAAGAATAAAATTTTAAAATGCTGCCAATGATGACAATCACTGCTAAATCAAGCATGATAAACACTGAAGATTAACTGAAACTACAAACGGTAGTGAAAGTGCATCTGTGTGACCTAAAATCCTTGCTTCTGTTCATTGAGTCATGGTTCCTGATATGATTAAACTGGAGTAACGTCTACACTTCTGCATTTTCGTACTATCAGATCTGATTATTTACTTTGGGAAGTTCAGTACAGGCAAAACTCGTGAGTCTGCAGTGTTATGAAGCTGATCTATGTGGGTTTTACTGACAGCGGAATAAGGATTTTATTTTTTATTAATTTACAAAAATTATATATTTTTTAAACCAGCCCCCTATGTTGAATTAATTTTTTTCTTTCAAATACAGTGTCAATGTTTAGTCTAAAAAAAGTTTATATCCAACCTTGTAAACATAATTTAATAAAATAACAAATTTTAAAACTGGTTTTAAGTTTTAAAGATTAAATTATTTATTAGCAACATGTGAGGAGAGAAACTTGTGAGTATTAATATTTCAAGATGGGGGGGGGAAAACTGATAAATTAAATTGTGGCTGCTTATGTGCGTTTGCATGTGCGATGGCACCTTTTTGTATGTCGTCTCCCCTGTGGGATCAATCCCACGATGGCCGATGGTTTTTTTCATGGCCGGAGACATGACGATGCTCGAACCCTGTCAGGCCAAACATAAAAATGCGGAAAGTTTCAAAAAAGGAGAAAAACAAAACTCATAGGTTTGATGCAATATGTAACCGTCTTATGTTTCAAACAGGAAAGAGGCAATAACATGTCAGCAAAAAAAAAATGCTAAATATCATCTTGTTACAGTGATTATTACATTTTGTGTTTCCTAATTGACACAAAACTCTATTACACACTTCCTCTCTGGTTGATTCTCACCTCTGCAGAAGCATTTTTTCTGGTCCCTGATGGATCTGGAGAGAGTTAAGATAGTCAAGACACAAATTAAATAAAGAATTACAAACAGGAAAGAGAACTTTGGCAATCAAGCATAGGCACTTTCTTCACTAGATGCAATGAAATCAAACAGCGCAGCTTCAAAACCTTCCAACATTCTGACCTACTAAAAAGCCAAACGCACAGCTGAGCTTCAACACAAGCATGCAGACGAACCTCATTGATTACCCCTGACAGAAGACAGCACCTTCCCAAACTGACCGTGCAGGTCTTTGCGAGCAATGACAGGAATTAAAGTGAGTTCAAACAGAGCCCGTGAGGAACAATTTACAAAAGTGAAATATGTTAAGTCTGCTGCCGTTCAAGCATAACTCCTTTATTTTAAATTAGTTTAATGGGAAAAACRCCACACAAGCTTTGTCAAACAACCCTGATAAGACTGAAGAAATGCAGTTACAAATGTACTGGTAACAACTAACCAAATGAATAACAAAAACAACAAAATCATGGCTACAAAGTAAAACTCAAAGAGCTAATAAAAACATGCCGGTGGAAATATTGTGGTAAAGAACAACATCAGTTTGGGCTTAAAATACCTTGAGAGAAAAAAGAAGTATAATTTTTGTCTCCTTCGGTCTAAACAAAATGCTTAAACCACAATCAACAAAATTTACATCAGTGAGCACTGATAACAGAAACAAGACAGGTCAGTATTTATACTTAAATACCTTACATGTGTGTCCTAAAAAGATTGAAAGAAAAAGCAAAACACACCAGAACAGGAAGACATTTAGGGAAATACAATCACTTTCTTGCCAAGAAGCACTTTTACTGCAGCGTTTATCATTTTAACATGAATTCTACATAATAACTTGTAAAGAGGGTGACGACAGCACTAAAAACAATAACCAAAAATAACCAACCAGTGTACTGCCCTGAGGCAAAACTGGAAATCAAGTATTTCAACCAAATACAGTCATACAATGGGTTCTCGGAAACACGATATTTGACCCATGTCTATATGTGTATACATATAAACAAACTCGTCTTAAGCCACAAATTATGAGCTTTTGAAATAAATGGTGTTATTTTAATTATAACACAATACTTACTGAGAGTTTGGCCCTGAAGACCTGGAGGCTCCTCTAAAGCTGTGGCCATTCAGACAAGACAACTAAACCCAGGTTTTAATGGCAACTCGAGCTGTAAAAGTGGACAAATAGGAGCTCGTTAAAAAAAAAAAATAAATAATAATAAAAAAAAAACATACCTGAACGACCAAGTTGACTGACTCGGTTTATCTAAACACGTACAAAAGAACACCAATCAACTTAGTTAAGACAAAATAATGAATCTAGAATAAGAAAACAACCAACAATTGTTGACTGCTTAAAATTACTGATAAAATGAACGTTTAGGTTACGATACTTGACGAACGGCGAACGAACGAAGCGTGAAAGCTAGCTGCTAACTTACTTTGCTTAACTGTGTTGTTAACCAGATATAATTCACAAAGAGTTTTAACTAACAAAAACGACACAAACAGTCAACTTACTCGATAATCTTTGTAAATTATTTTTGTGAGTTACCAGACTGGAAAAAATGTCGTCTTCTAAAAGGAATGTTACCCCAGACAAGTAAACAAGGAAGCAATGCGAATAGTTTTGTAATTAAAAAAAAAAAAAAAAAAAAAAAAAAAAAAACTTCACTCACAACCGGAAAAGGCACCTCGTTTCCGGCGACTGTGAGGTTTTTCACAATAAAACACAAAACCGGAAGTGTCCTTCCATGCGGAATATATAATAAAAATAAATGTCTATAAAATGAACTCTCCAAACAGAGAGTAACAAGTTCATTACAAACGTAAACAATAAATTGTTTTGTCTTAATATTCAATAAAATACAACAGATTAAAACAGATGCAACAAGGTTTCAAATAATAGTTTGAAAAATGATAGACATTTCATATTTTGTACAAATATTTTGTAAAGAAATACATAATATAATTATTTTCAAGTTATTATCTACTTTATATTTTTATATCTGATGAGGAAATTCACTGTATTTGTTTAAAATAACTTTTTTAATTCTTAAAAAATGTCTGTGACACATCCTACCTGCAGGGTCTGAACTTTTTTCATTCAACATTAAACTAATTTAATATATGAATACATGAACACAAGAAAAGTAATGAGAGCCATTAGAAAAACAGCACCTCTGCTTTTATTTTGAAAGCATAATATTTGTTTATAGACTAAGTGAAACAGCAGGATCATGTAAGGAAAAGTTATTTATGACTTTTATTGGACATTTCATCTGAAATTAAGAAAAACACACCTTTAACGTTTTTTTTATCCAACTAACCAAGTTAATAATTTATTATAACTTCTGTTCTTCTGAAGAAATAAAATGCACACATGTATTTGTTTGTTAGTTTGCTTTGTTTTATTTATTTCAGTCATTTATTTACAAAAGTTTGTGATATTAAAGTAAGAAACATTTTGTAAGAGAAAGGACTTATACATTTGAAAGTAAGTTTCTGGTTAYCTTAAAAAACTGATTACAGTAACACACAATAATAATTTTAAGACTTAGTGTCCTTAACAGGAGCAAACAACCTCATTTCTAATTTTCTCTTCTGACTGCACAAGGATAAACTCTTTTATCTTTTCTCTGTTTCTTTTTCATTGCATTTGAGTGAGTTTGGTTGTCAGTTATTGCAAGCATTTGGGTTAAATATGAATCCCGGTACTGCAGGCATTGCAGGACAAGTGTACCCCGGTGTTCCCAAGTAATATGGATTTGGCAGCTGCTCATCGAAGCAGGTCCATCTCTTTTCTTCTTTGTACTCGCAGCACTCGTATGGATTAGTCTTAACAGAATATTCCTCATTACAGAACTGAGACAGGGCTTGTTTCCACTGCAAGAAAAAAAATCACCTTTATTCATAAAGGTAGTCTCATTGAGTCGTGATTTACAACAATAAAAGCAAAAACAAAATAGTGCAATAGAATTAATAAAATCAGTCATTTAAAACAAGGTAAAATACTAAAATCAACAACAAACCCCCATCAAGCTGTTTGTCTCCACAAGAAACAAAATCATTATAAATCTCTTTATATATTTTATTTCTTGATAAAACAAAGTTATAATAGTGAATATGAGTATCGCTTGCTTATGTTACATCCAGTTTTACCATCCAACATTGCTGTAAGAGAGGAGGTGTGAGCCTTAAYGGGACAATTTAAGAAAATGAGGTTTGTTATGAGAGAACGACAAAAAAACCTTCACCTCAACAAAACAAACCTCATCACTACCAGATAAGGAAATAAATCTTATAATCTTGAGATAATGTCTTAAAATCGTGATTGGCTTTTTAAAGAAATACTCTACTTTATGTGTTTCCAGCAATTTCAAATATTRCATTTTATGTGAAAATATATTTGTTTGCTGTCTCTCTGAAAGTACGTTTCTTTGATCAGATTTTAAATTACATTATGTTTGTGCATAAACTAGGGCAGGTTATTAGAGTTCAGGATAGCGCATACTTTTTAACCTTGAATTTCTATTTTATCATGAATAGATTAAAAGAGAGTTCAGGCCTCTTTTGATTCCAGAAACTCACAGCTTGATTGGTGCAGCAGAGGATCTGGTTGATTTCCTGTGCTACCAGTCCACTGCAGCACACAATGTACCATGACTCCACGCGGTTGATGGCGTTTCCAGTGCGGCGGAAGAAGCTGAAACCAGAGGGTGGGTAGAAGCTGTCGGGATATCTGGGACGGCTTTGACTCTGGAGACAGATGTTGGCCAGATTTAGTGGAGTGGGTTTGGCAGGTGGGAACGGGATGTCTGGCTCATTCAAGGTGTACGTTGTGGTCTCTGTGGGAATCAAACACAAAGCAACACTGACGTCGTCGCAGTTTGAATGTCACACAAAGCGTGAACGATCAAGAAGTCTTACCTTCCACAGTTGCACCAATAATAGTTATCAGCGCGGTTACCCAAAACGCAGTGCGGCCTCTGGCTGAAGTCATGGCTGTGGTGGCAGCGAGGTTGTGGAAAGGCGGGTTTGTGATGTGATGATCCCAAACTAATTTATAGGCGTATGGATGTGGAGGGGGGATGTGCGTGTTGGGGAGAGAAACCTGAAATGGATGTGGGAGTGGAGGGTGGCGAAGGGATGTGGTGATGTGTCAAGATAAAAACAAACTGAACTTGTGTTTTTGTTCTGATATGGTTCAAGGTTAGTTTTTTAAAAACAATTTGTAATTCACACCAAAATAAAACTGAAGAAGGCCCTATAAATATTTCATAAAAAAAGAAATAGATAAACAACACCTAATAATTTACTAAAAAGCAGTTATCTGTGAATTTCATGTGGTTTTTATGTTGGTAAATGTAACTTTTTATTTTATGAACAAAATGGATGGATGGATGGATTATTATCTTACCTGTTGTGGATAATATTTCATTTTCATTTCATAAATTTTATTCATTTCATACAATAAAAATTAAAAATAAAAACACAACGAAATGAAAGGAAGCAGAGAGAAGAACAAAAATCTCATAATATCTGCCCCTTTCCCCCYTCATTTCTAACAACAGTAATCTTAACAAGCAAAACAAGAACATCAAATCTTTCTAGAACAACAAATTATATGGTTACACATACTGTTTCATATTTTTTTCAACAATCCAACCTTTATCATTTTCTACTTTGATTTGGTACTTTTCACATCATTTTCCAAAATATTCCACAATCTGACTCCTTGGATTGAGGTGCAGCGTTCTTTCAATCATGTTCTAAATTTAGGTTTCATGAACAACTCTGTCCCCTTAAGATTATCATAGCTCACTCTCTTTGCAAAGTTTTTCAGGATGTTTATTGGTAATGTGTTTTGGTGAGCCTTATACATAATTAACAAAATACTGTAATCAAACAAATCATAGAATTACAATAATTTCAGTTTACATAATAATCTTTTATGCAAAACAAAAACAGGATGTGTAATTGTCTTACATCCCATACCTCAGTACAATAGACCAAGTGTGGAACAATTGATGCGTTATATAACATATACAGAGTTTTATCATTAAACAAGTCCCTTACTTTGTAAAGCAATGCAATAGATTTAGCTAGTTTTATTCTTAAGTAATTAATATGAAGTTTCCGTGTCAGTTTCTCATCAATAATAACACCCAAAAACTTCACCTCACTGACTAATCTCCACACCATCAACTCTAAATGGAATATTAACAGTTCTTTTGCTCATTGTAAATATCTTATAATTAGTTTTATCCAAACTGGGTGATAATTTGTTAAATTTAAACCAGTTTTGTATTTTCATAAACTCTGTTTGCATTTTCTCTAACATCGGTTCTGTGTCTTTACCCGAACAAAAAAAATGCAGTATCATCTGCAAATAAACACATTTAAAGAGCACTGAAACATTAACCAAGTCATTCATATACAAGATAAACATTTTGGTCCAAGTATAGAACCCTGAGGAACTYCACACGTAATTCCACAYAGGTCAGATCTGACATCATGTACTTGTACAAACTGTTTCCTATTTTCCAAATAACTAGATATCCATTGTAATGCTAGTCCTCTAATCCCATATTTATTTAGCTTTTCAAGTAGAATGCTGTGGTCARTCGTGTCGAATGCTTTCTTCAAATCAACATAAATACTGGCACAATATTGTTTTTGATCAATAGCATTCGTTATTTGTTCTGTTAGTTCCATAAGAGCCATTGAAGTAGAGTTATTGGCTCTAAATAAGTAGTGACTACTACTTAAAATATTATTTTTATTGAGAAATTGATCTAATCTACAAATAACTTCTCCAAGATTTTAGAAAACTATGGTAAGAATACTGGTCTAWAATTACTAAACATTCATTTCTCACCATTTTTATACATGGGAATTACTTTGGCTATTTTCATGTTGTTTGGAAATGTTCAYAAAGGGCTTAATAACAAAACACAYTATTTCCTTAACAAACATCATGTCCATGTTCACCCAGTCTTTTGACCTTTTATCCCATACTCATTATTYCTTCTTCATTTGTTTCACCAAGAAAGATGCTGTTTGCACAACTTCTGATTGTTTGAGTCACATCATTATCAGCTTTTGACATTTGAGCAGCGAGACTCGGACCAACATTAACATAATAATGATTAAATTCTTTAGCTATTTCAGTTTGATCGTAAAGTTCCTTATTATCTTTTACAAAGTATTGTGAAATACCTTATTGTACTTTATGCTTTTTTTAAAACACTTTTCATTACTCCCCATTTTGCTTTAGTATCACCATTACTTTTGCTTAATAAATCACTGTCATATTCCTTCTTATGTTTTCTTGAAATCCATACCAATTTGTTTTTATACTTCTTGTATCTGTCTTCTGCTTCTTTTGTTCTTAATTTCAGCAAGGATGAATATAAATTATTATTATTA